ATATATATGTATCATGTTTGTATTGCAGCTTATTTCGTTGTCGATTGTAGCCGCGGAATTCGGACGTGCGCGATAGCATAAATTAGCGTTTGATGCACTGGGGTCTCGCCGTTGGTAAATGATAAACCGTCGCGGAGATTAAAACTGTATTTTGCATTGGCGCTGTGCGGCTCATCATAGAATGTCGATCACGTTGGCCCAGTTGCAGTAGTCGCGATCATGTAAATTGAACTTCGATCCGATAAATTTCGGACGTGTCGCAACAATCTTAATGGGCGAATAATGACGGGGATGGCGGCGATAAAAATGCCGCTTCATCGCGCCGCAGAAAACAATGTAAATATGAAACAATGCACTTTCGTGCGCGCGCGCGCGCGCGCGCGTGACGACGTGGATAGATCGACGCGCAGATTTCACCGCGTGCTATCAAACGTTTCAAATACTGGCCCCCGACTACCGCGCAGCTACATGACATGACAATCCCATTTTACGTTGCGCCACGTCCTGGAGGAATGCACCCGTGGAATGCGGAGGACGCGTTTATTACGTAACGCCGTTTATTAGGTTTGTATTCGAGAGCGCGCGCGTGATCGTCGTCGCCTGTTCGGTCGATCACCGCCAGTAAAGTTCCGCGGGTAAAGTTTAATCTTTTCGGCTTATAAACGAATTGTTATTTATCCTCGGCGAACAAAGGACGTGTAATTTGGTCCCGAGAGGAAGGCCGAAACAACGGCTGCTATTCTCCACGCCCGTAGAAATTGGAATTTTGTCGAAAACACGAGCGTTAACGCCCCCGTAGAATCCCTTCAGGATGCTCACCTGCCTTTCGCCTACCTGACAGCCCATCCGAATCTTCAGACGTTGCCTCAACTTTCCCTTTATCTCGTGAAACACTGTCGAATCGAAAATGATGGAAAGGGTTCGAGGGCTAACAGCTTGCGTCTCCACATGAGGGTACGTTGGACGAAGCATCGCAATCATGTTCACACCGACATGCATCGGCATGCGCTGTCCACAAACATGTGCAAAGTATCACCCGATGCTGGCGGACGTGTATGCGCGCACGTGTGATGTGTGTGTGTGTGTGTGTGTGTGTGTGTGTGTGTGTGTGTTGCACGTGCGTGTGCTGATAATATTATCGCCAACAAATATTTGCTTCCTATCGCAGGATCGATAAACATCAAAGAAAAGTTGCCGAAAAATCGGAAACCCGAACTGCGTACAATACGAGAGGAACTTTTGTATTTTTATTACTTTTCTTCTCCGTTTCTTTAAACGATTCGAGGCACCTTATACGCTGGACTGAAAACAATGTCAAAGCCAGTACTCGCGGAACTTTATTTCCACCTTCTGTTATCGTGAGCTCCGCGCTTCGTAAATCGCATTATCAACCTTTTAATTTCGCCAGTCTCGCTTTTTAATATACAATGCTATATAATAGCGGATTTCCGCAAAACGCGGCGGCGTCAAGAAACTTGACGTTTCGTTACTAATGGAGTAAATCCAGTACGACAACGTGGGATATTCTTGGCAACGAAATTTATCTCCGAAACGTTGCCAGCAATTATGTCAACTACGTTGCGCCACCGCGGACGCTGCTTGAGAGACTTTCATATTTTTATTTACAGCTTCGTTTATACTCCCGACAGTCGCACTTCAAGGGGAAGCGTCATTTTCAACGAAAGCCGGATGAAATGGAACGGCCACGGCGGCGGCGGCGGCGGCGGCAGTCCTGCGGCGGCTTTGCATAAGTTCGGAAGAGTAATCAATCAATTCCGCGTAGATAATTAACCAATCGGTTTCGGCAAATAAATTCGATCAGCAATGATAAAATATGCATCCTAGTCTTTCATGGGAACAGTATATTGTTTATTCGATCAATTAACTAACAAATCGAATTCGATATCCGTGTCACTCGATATCAAATTCGATATTGCCCGACGGGTTTTTTTTTTTTAAACCAAACTGACAAAG